TGTGTCAGTTATGCTTTGATAGAAAACAAAATAGCAAAGATATGCATTTAAATATATATAGGTTCAACTACGTTCTTTAGAACTTGCACGTAAAGAAAGCTAACCTATTCCAAATGAAGCTGATCCTACGTATTCATAATAGGATATAGACTTAGGAAGGCAAATTTATCTGTAACACAATGGAGATAAGGCTAAATTGCTGGAGAAAGGAGAAGACATGGGAGAGAGGAGAGAGTTCTAGCAGGGTGGAGAAGTGAATAGAAGGACATGGAAGAGCCTGGAGTCTTCACAGGCTGAGCAGCCTAGGAGATACATGGAAGAACATTCATTTATTTCTGTGAGAGCTTCTTAGTTTTCCCTGCAGTGTGCTTTCTCATCTCTTACCGTTAACGTGTATGGAATAATGGCCAAATATCTCATGAAGGCTTTTCTGTATAAAGAGAGTCTTTTGAAGATACTGGAAATTGCAACTGATTTTATTTCCTGAGCTCAGTTCAGGCAAAGTCAGTTTTTAGGAGGAAGCCTGACATGAAAACAGAAGAGATCCTTTAGCACTGAGAATTAGTGAAAGTGTAGGGAAACCTTGATGTTTTTAAAATCTGTGTAATATGTGGGGTCCAAACTAAGAAATCAGCATTGTACCAGAAGCAGATTGCACCTGTGTGACTTGTCAGCGTGGGAGCTCTTTCCATGAATATATTTGGCATGGTGACTTGAAGAAGGGTAAATCGAGGTCCAGAAAAGAGTGGCTTGATGAAGTTCACCGTGCAGGAGTGACGTTAGCTTGAATGAGAAGGGAGGGAAGGACTCCAGGCTCACCTATTTTATGCTCTTCCCTGCGTTTAGGAGCCCTTTAAACTGTTCATCTTTTGTGATGTAGGCCTGAAATTTTGTTTGGAGCGTACATTTTTAAAGTTTACACACCCAGATGCAGTGTGCTTCAAATTATAGAAGTAGGTTTTGATTTTGTTTTGTTTTTAAAAATACACTTAGTGCCCTTGACTGAACTGAAGCTGGATTCCGTGCAGCCTTGATTCAGCCTCTTGGTTCCCCTGTGAGGTGTGCCTCTTCTGTTTTTCCACCACCTAGAAGGGAATCAATTTTTATCATCCTCTGGTTAAACCTGAGAGGTAAATGATGTAAGAGAGCCATAGATTCAGCCCTGGTGTTAAATGAACTTTGCCTGTTCCTCTTCCACTTGACCTTGCTATGGACGCTCTCAGGTAAGAATAGAAGAACATTATTTTTGAGAGACAGAAATTGGACAGGACATGGGTCAGCATGAGGACTAGGACTTGTATCTGAACTCCCAGTCCATCTGTGTTGCAGTGGAGAATCCCACAGTATTTGAGGAACCCTCGAGGATGTTAGGAAGTGAGGGCAGGGTACCTACAGGAGATGAGAGTTCCACGATTCTTGTACATCGGTTAACCTCCCATGTCTGGGTCTCTGGAAAAGCCTCTGTGATTGAGCTGATCAGAATGCAAAGAGGAGCCTGTGAAAGCCTGTGATCACACACGAAAGACATAATTTACATACACTATTCCAGATTACAGAGTGTGGGCAGTATACTTGGCTTGATATTTGAATGAAAGGGAAGTTCTCATGTTTACATTTAATTATGATTTACTTGCTTCTGGACATTTATTTCACAGTAGTTGTTCTGTGTCCTTTGAAGGCTGTTAGGCACCGTCACCAGTGTGACCCATTAGAGATTCATGCACTTCATGCCCTCGGTGTTCCCTGCTGGATCCCTCCACTGTAAGATTAATAATTTTTCTCATTTATTGTTAAATACGTTTGGAGGATTTACTGAAAGATGTGCATAAGTCATCTTACTTAATCAGGAAACTCCTTTATCTGTTTCACTTTGTAGTCTGCTTTGAAAATGAAGGCTCTCCTGTGTTGGCCTAAGATACCATTGTTTGAAGTAGAGATTGTAAATAAATAACGGCTTGGCCCTACACATTTCCATTTTATTCCACACTCATGTCACAGACATAGCATTTCTTTTATTTATTTATTTATTTATTAAAAGATTTTATTTATTTATTTGAGAGAGAGAATGAGATAGAGCATGAGAGAGGGGAGGGTCAGAGGGAGAAGCAGACTCCCTGCTGAGCAGGGAGCCCGATGTGGGACTCGATCCAGGGACTCCAGGATCATGACCTGAACCGAAGGCAGTTGCTTAACCAACTGAGCCACCCAGGCGCCCCAGACATAGCATTTCTTATCACTTCTCTCGTTGCTCTAGAGAAAGAAAACATGCATCATATATGTTCTGCTGCCTTAAAATTGTAAAATATAACTCAGCACAAAAGCCACATGAGACAAATACTTTGAATGCTGTAAGAGACTCAAAAACAGTAGTTATTTTAGTCATATACTTGTGTGTTTGTCTTTGTGGTGTTTGCAAGACACAAAAACTTTCATCCACAAATATATTTGTAAGTTTTTATCACTGAAAGCATTTCTCAGTTTCAGTGACAATAAAAAAAACTCTATAGTCTATCATTTTTATTCTTTTTTATTGAATTTGTAATTTTTATGTTTTATCCTCACTTACCTGTTTTCGTTGATATGTTCTGTGGTTTAATTGTGTTTGTATTCCCATTGGCACTTTGAAACCTGCTGTGAACGTTCTTTTAGGGTTACTTCTGTATAGTGTTCTGTGTGTTTGTCTTAGAGTAATTCAATTTCAGATAATCTGGGATAAAACTCAGGATGTACTATTACTGAAGTTTTGCCAAGATGTTTTTTGAAAGGTGAAGAACAATTCTACTGTTGTCATCGGTTAGTGTGGATTCATGGGTGAATTTATGAAAAAGTGTTAGAATGTGATGTAGTGGGTAGTAAATGTTCAAGAAGAATTGTTGTTTTGTTCTTGGAATTAGAAGTTGTAATTTCCACAATATTCTTTATGTTCAAAGTCATCCATTTCTTTTCTTTTTCTTTTTGGAATTTAAAAGAGTGGCACTGAGCTAAGATATTGGCATCACTTGCAAGCTCGTGAGAAATGTGGAAACTCAGATCCCACCTAGAAATCCAAATCAGATTATAAGTTTTGACAGGATCTTCACTTCATTGTCATACACATTAACATTGGATAAGGACAGGTCTGGCTCAGCTCTGCTTTTTGGTTAGCTATCCCTGTATTTATGTCTGTGGTATATTTTGATAACTATAACGTTGTAGTATGTTTCAAATCAGGGAGTATGGTGTCTCCAGTGTACTCTTCAGTTTGAAAATTATTCTGGGGGTGTTATACTGTGACATCCACATGGATGTTAAGAGGGGTTTTGATCTTTCTGCCAAAAAAAATGACATTGGAATTTTGATAGAGATTTTCAGTGTTACTTTTTATTCTGATCTCTGTTTTATTTATGTCTGATTTTTCTTCGTTATTTCCTTCCTCTACTAAATTTCATGTTTCTTCTTTTTTATGTTCCTTGTAGTATAATGTTGTTTATTTGAACTTTTTTTCTTAACTCAAGCATTTATAGCATTAAAAAAATTGAAAATGGAAAGTCTAGTGGGGAAAATTAGCAGAAATAAACAATACAAGTGATGACCAAACAATAAAATAGCATAAAAATAAAAATAGGCATTCTTTATGGTTTTCTATAGACCACGTCATCTGCGAACAGAGATAGTTTTCTTTTTCTTTTTGAATTGGATTCTTTTTATATATTTTTTTCTTGCCTGATTGTTCTGACTAGAATATCCAGTACTATGTTGAATGGAAGTGCTGAAGTTATTCCTTGTTTCTGATCATACAGGAGAAGCATTCAGTCTTTTACTATTGAATATGTTAGATTTCAGCTTTCAGTACGTATACATATGTGTTATGCTGAGGTGGTTTCCTTCTATTCCTACTCTTGAGTGTTTTTAATCATGGAACTGTGTCTGATATGCTCACATTCTTGTTCTGCTTCAATTAATATGAACATGTCATGTTTGATCTTCATTCTGTTAATGCACACTCTTATTAATTTATAGATTTCCATATGTTAAAAGACCCTGAACTCCAGGAAGAATTCTCACTTGATTATGTTGTAAAATAGTAAAATGTGCTTTTGATTCAGTTTGCTTCATTTTATTGTGGACTTAGTATAACTATTCCTCATAGTTAGTACTTGGCACTCCGTCTTTGTTTGTAGTGTCTTCCTTTGGCTTTGATAACCTGGTAAAGCTGGTGTCTCAGAGATTGATAGTTTCCTTTCTCTTCACTCCTTGGAAATGTTGGAGGAGATTTGAAGTATTTTCTCTTTAAATGTTTGTTTGAATTCTCCAGTGAATTTATCTGGCACAGGACTTTCTTTGTTGGGAGGTTTTTTTTTTTTTTTTTTTTTTACTTTTTCAATGTATTTAATAGTGGTAGATTATTTGATATTTTTTTTTTTTATTTCTCCATAATGGAGTCAGGTAGGTTATATACTTGTTGAGGTTTATATTTTTTTTTTTATATCTGTTTGTGGACATATAATTATCCATCATCACCTCTTATAATTGTTTTTATTTCTTTGTTATCAGTTATATTGCGTCTGCTTTCACTTCTTCTGATTTTACCTAGTCTTCTTGCTTCCATTCTTTATTTAAAAGTATATTGATTTTGTTGATCTTTTCTGAAAATGCAATCTTCCTATTGATGTTTTCCTGTTTTTGCTCTCCTATTTTGTTGATTTCTATTTTAAGTTTAAATTTCCTTCCTTCTGCTAGTTTTGGGATCAAATGGCACTTTTCCTGATTTTTTGAGGTATAGGATCATGATGTGTGCTTCCAGCATGATAATACTATGGAACTATGTGATCGGCTGTGTGATCTGTACATTGTCTGCAAGTTTGTCTCCCTGGAGGAATGAAGTCCTGATGATTCTTTCTCAGCCATATTGCTGAAGTTCTCTGATTGATTTTAATTTTGCGTATTAGAAGCTTTCATTATATTCATCTGAGAGTAGTAAGTGGAATGATTTTACTTTTCTCTTATTCAATATCTTTCAGCTGTATCTTCAAATGGCACCCAGAGTTTCCTGCCAAAGCTGTGCATAGAAGCTTCTTTCCAAAACGTGGCAGTGGGTAGATATAAGCATAGTGCCCTTGACAATTTACACTTAATGATAGACTGGAAAAATGATGGGGAGAGTGAAGAGCATCAAAGATATCATGAAGGACACATCCAAACTGAGACAACTGTCCATAATATGAATCTCACTGCCCAAAATGATGAAGAATATAAAACACTTGGGAAAATATCCCTTCTTAAGTCTGCTACTTCTGCAAAGCAGTGTCTTTCTGTAAGCAAGGGCTCAAATCAAATGGTGAAACATACGTGTTTGGAGAACGAGAATTTGGAAAATCTGGAAAGTTGCCTAGTCCATGCTGAAAATAATTATTTGAACCATTTTGAAAGTAGGATTGGATTGACCTTTGAGTCAAATATTTCTGAAAATCAGAGATTTAAAAATGAAGAACAAAGTGCTAAGTGGGATTCATTTGAGAGGTCCTTCACCAAGGAGTCGACCCTACAAGATGACCAGAGCATTTTCAATGAAAATAGTATTGCTCAATGCAGTGACTCTGAGAACAAATTTAACGAGGGTTCAAATGTTAATAAATGCATGAGGACTCATTTTCCAGAGAATCATTATGAGTGTGATAAATGTGTGGAAGTCTTTTATCAAAGCTCCAACCTGATTATACATAAGAGTATCCCTATGGGAGAGAATCCTTATAAATATGAGTGTGGGAAATCTGTTAACCAGTCCCGCAATGTTGGTGATTATCAGAGAATTCATATGGAAAAAAACATACACAGATGTAATAAACCTGTGAACATGTTGAGTCAATCATCAGGACTAAACATACATAACACAGTCGCTACTGGACAGAAAACTTACATTTGTGAGGAATGTGGTAAAGCTTTTGACTGGCACTCAACACCATCTCAACATCAGCCAATGCCTACTGGAGAGAAACCTTACAAATGTGAAGAATGTAGCAAGGTCTTTATCCACCACTCACACCTTATTCAACATGACAGAATTCATCCTGGAGAGAAACCTTACCAATGTGAAGAATGTGGAAAGGCCTTTAACCAGCACTCAATGCTTACTCGACATCAAAGAATTCATACTGGAGAGAAACCTTATCAATGTGAAGAATGTGGCAAGGCCTTTAACCAGCACTCAAACCTTATTCAACATCACAGAATTCATACTGGAGAGAAACCTTACCAATGTAAAGAATGTGGCCAGGCCTTTAACCATCACTCAAGCCTTACTCAACATCACAGAATTCACAGTGGTGAAAAACCTTACATATGTAAAGAATGTGGCCAGTCCTTTAACCAGCACTCAAACCTTACTCGACATCACAGAATTCATAGTGGAGAGAAACCTTATATATGTAAAGAATGTGGCCAGGCCTTTAACCAGCACTCAAAACTTACTGAACACCTCAGAATTCATACTGGAGAGAAACCTTACATATGTAAAGAATGTGGCCAGGCCTTTAACCGGCACTCACACCTTACTCGACATCACAGAATTCACAGTGGAGAGAAACCTTACCAATGTAAAGAATGTGGTAAGGCCTTTAACCAGCAGTCAAAGCTTACCGAACATCACAGAATTCATACTGGAGAGAAACCTTATATATGCAAAGAATGTGGCCAGGCCTTTAACCGGCATTCACACCTTACTCGACATCACAGAATTCACAGTGGAGAGAAACCTTACATATGTAAAGAATGTGGTGATACCTTTATCCAGCACTCACACCTGACTCGACATCACAGAATTCATACTTGAAGGAATCCTAACCAAAATAATGTGCCAAGGCCTTTAAGCTGTGCTAAAGTCTAACTTCTGATCAGAGGTTGTATACTGGAGAATATTTTGCAAACATAATGAATTTGGCAAGCCCTTTAATCAGAAATCAAGCTTCATTGACCATCAGAGAGTTCATATTGGAGAAGAAAACTTAGAAATGTAAAGAATGTGGTAAAACTTTTAGGATTGCTCAACTCTTACTCAGCATCTCAGAGTTCATACTGAGGGGAAACATTACAAAGGTAAAAGAATGTCTCAAGCCTCTAGCTGGAACTCTCAACTTACTGAACATCATAGTTCTCATCACAGGATGGAAACTAAAATACAGAGAAATTTGCAGTGCCTTTAACTGGAATTCAATCCTTAATATCCAAAAATTCACACTAGAGTCAAACCCTACAAACTTATGAATGAGGAAAGACCTTCATTTTAAATATACACGTTAGTAAACACTCGTGAGTGCATAAAGGACAGTAACTTGAAAGATGTAAATACTTAGAAATGTATGTAACTGAACATCAAATGTCAATAAATGTCACAGAAATCAAGTACAAAGCACTATGTCAGTCAATCTATTCAGATACTACATCACAATACTCATGATAAGGAATAATAACAAAGTTAAACTGTTAGAAATGTCTGTCCTATTATGCTTCAAAAGATTAAGTGGATAGATTTTTGCATAGTTCTAATTAATTTCAATATGTGCTTTTTTTTTTACATTGGCCCTATCTGATATTTGTGTCTAGCAAATATTAATGTATCTCTACTCTCAAGTCACTTCAGAAAATACATTTATTTTTAGTATGTGTGAAATTGTGTGACTGTTGCTTCATCAAAGATAGGAGATCTCTCCTTTACTAGGTGGGACTCATGATATCTAATTATCCATGGAAGATGAAGGACAATATAATATACAATATATAAAGAAAATCTAAATGGAGATATTGTTTGTGGTTATAACATTAATGACGGTTGTCATGAAAAAGGTGTTCAGAACATCAGTCTTTTCCATTTATTAAAACTAAAGAACTTTCTGAATATTACAAAAAAAATATTTTACCAACTGGTATTAGAGGAAAAACAGGTGGCAATCCAGTAAAATTCTGATGTACCCTCATGATAGCAATAGTTAGAAGTAGAGAATATTAGTGGATGTGGTTGAAAGGAAGAAATCCTCACAGATATCATTAAGATGGTAGCTGGCTCTTCCCCCAACATGGCATACATCCACATTTGTTGAGAAAGACCTCACACCTGAAAATTATTGAAACCACTACTCCCACATCATGATATCAGTGCTTGAATGCTTTTTAATGCTTATATACTGTATTTTGAACAAGGATTATAGAGGGGATTGAAATGCATAACTTAGTCTGTGTGTGAACTTAATATATTTTAATTAATAAAACATAATGGTTTTTATCGTGTTAACATGGATATGTAATGAATGAAGTGTTATCTGACTACCAATGTTAACCTATCTCATTTTATATAGGTTGTAGGTAACTGATGGTATCTATCACCTATTTGGCAACAGAGTGGAAATATTATCTAGTAATCCATTTTCTCATTGGCCTTAATGTTTAGATAATGTGTGATTGTTTTTCCCTTAGTTTAAATATTGTATCATTTTCTCCTCCTTGGGACTAGTGGGATAGTATAACAGATATATTATAGATTGTATGTGGGTCTTATTGATCAACTAAGTGAAGTACTCCATGACAGTGCTACTTAGCATACATTTTGTGTAGGCAGGAGTTTTGCAAGGGACTTTAAGTGACACAAGAGAATCTTACTGGTGCATTTCGTACATAACAAACTGTAGAGTCAGAAGTTAATGTACCTTCTGATAGGGCATTCCCCCCAGTCCACCCTTGTGAGCAAACATTTCTCCTGTCTCCCATGACTTCCCCCTTATGTGTCCTTTAGAGAAGACTCCTACCGAGCTTACTTAAACCTATTTTAGTTTGAAAGGCTATCTGGACTTTTCCCAGGGACCCTAAAGCACTCTACCATGGCCCCTAATAAAGGTATGTGCCCCACTTCATATGTGTGGGTGTTGTTTTCATGTTTCTATCTAGTAAACATACACTTACAACAATGGTTTGTGTGTAACAGATACCCCATAAGTTAGAGAAATATATTCCGGTAGGAGTGACATTGTAACCCCAGTTAAGAGAAAGTACAGAGGATGAAGAATTGGCGTGAATTCTGCATGTGGAGAGAGGACACCTTTCCTGGGTTGCACAACTGACTCCCTGGATTTAGAAAAATAACTTATACTTGTTTATTTTCCTAGACATCTGCAGATCTCCATTTCTATTTATCCCCAGTTTTATTTCCACCTACATAGGCATCTCAAATGTTCTTCTTTGCCTGTGTTGTGGTTAGAATGTCCTCACTGACCTTCTAATTGAGTTAGAGACAAGTAAGGCCAATGGGTGTCAATTCAGACATTTAGCCCTGGCATGTGGGATGTAAATATAAGTAAAACACAATGATGGCAGCATCCTTAGAGAGAAAGGTAAGACCTATTAGAAAATGTGAGGAACTTTTCAGTGTGGGTAGGGAACCCAACGTGGCTCCCTTCAGTCATTCGAAAGGCACAGGCATCTCTTGGTGGTGTCATCTGATGAATAAATGTAATGGAATAAAGGAATTGGCAAGTGTGGTGGGTTTCTGAGGAGTAGGGAAGTCCTGTTTTATCTTCATGATTTAATTGAATTCCTGTGTGTTAGTGAGGACCAGATGCTGTTGTGATGACTGTGTTTGCCCAGCTCTAGATCAGTGGCTGTGGATGGAGGAAGGGTATTCGATGATGCAATCATTTAGTGCATAGCTTCAAAATATCACATGGTAGAGTAGATGTTGGAGATGAAGCCTTCTAGACAGTGGAATAGGCAGGCTCAGCAAGATGTGTGCTGTGGTTTCACAAAGCGCTAGTATCCCAGGTATATAACCCCAACATAGTTTAAATCCACTGTAGATGGGTATCCTTTCGTGGAAGCTGATGCACTGCTGTGCGGGACCTTCCTCCCTTTACTGAGTGCCATGATGAATGTAGTCCTGTGCTCTGGCTCTGTGCCATGGATTTCTTGGAGGAGTGATACAACAGTCAGTGGCAGTGAGCATTTCTGCTTCAGACAGTCTGGTGCAAGTGTTTATTGACTGATAAATGAATAAAGAAGATGTGTATCTATATAGAATGGAATATTAGCCTTAAAAAGGAATGAAATCTTACCATTTGCAATGACATGGATGGAGCTAGATTATTATGCTAATGGAAAGACGCCAGAGAAGGACAAATACCATGTGTTTTCACGCATATATGGAATATAAGAAACAAACAAGCAAAGGAGAAAAAAAAAAAGCAGACAGGCAAATCAAAAAATAGACTCAACTGTAGAGAAGAAACTGATGGTTACCAGAGTGGAGATGGATTGGGGGATGAGTTAAATAAGTGATGGGAATGAAGATGTGCATTTGTTGTATTGAGCACTGGGTGTTGTATGGAATTGTTCAATCACTATTGTACACCTGAAACAAATATGACAGTGCATGTTAACTCACTATAATTTAAATAAAACCTTTTAAAAAATACTTTGGTGTTTACAGATTTAAGAAATTTTGTCCTTATGTTAACTGACTTGCAGCAGTTACACAAAATACACCTTTGTAAACAAATTGGAATGTTTATCTTTTCTCCCTGATTTCTCCAGAATTCAGAGTGTCTCAGTAACTATTTTTATATTTTAATGCCTGTATATATATTTGTATAATTTCAGTAAGAATTTGTTCTCACGATGACAAGACACAAACAGAAACACTCGTTATATAACCATGGCTTTGACTGGAATGTCATACCTGAGAAAGAGCTGCATAGACTCAGATACAAGACAGCTATAGGGAACTAAGATTGACTTTATGGAGCAAATAAGGACCCCTTGGAAATATCAGCCTGATACCTTACTTAGGGAGTTCCCAGCAGCTTTACCATGTGAGCAAGGCAGATTACTTACTAGCAGGCGCAGGAACCTCAGGATATTTAGGGGACTTCGTGAAGAGAGGAGTTCACTGCAATCTGTAGTTACTGTCCATAAAGTCTGGTGGCACGAAAATGACATGGACTCTGACCTGGACATGCTATTAAAAGTTCGATTTAGAGATTCCTTATGAAAAGTTCCTGCAAAACTGTTTTTAAAGTGTCTGTAGCTCAACTTCCATTCTCCCTGCAGTTATATAAATAATCAGGCCAAGTGTTTTTTTCTTAGACTATTTGGTAATCAAATTAGTGTTAATTTGACTATCTTTGGTAAAAATTTGTTTCAGTAACATTTTGTAGATACTAGATGTTAATAGTATTCAGTATTAACTGGACTACATCCTGATTTCTTCTAATGTTGACCAATGCATGGCTACAAGTCCCCAAACATTTTGAATTTTCTCTCACCTTCCTACTTGGAATCATTTGAGAACTAAAATTGATATTTTTCCTGAAGCTCTGCAAACTTAGTATAAATGACTTGTAAAGAAATTGTCATAATAGCTCATGTATAGACAGTCTTAGTGCTGTGGCTCTATGGGCCACTGAAATACTACCAACATAGTATTTAAACTATAAACCAGGACGGTATTGTTAGGTTTCCCCTGCCTGCCCTCACTCTATCTTAAGATGCTTGAAATCTAACATCTAGAAGTCTGCTCAACTGGCTACCCTTAGAAATCAGAACCTGCCTTAACATTTGATCTAATCATTAACCATAGTTCATTTGTTTTCATATAAATGCCTCATTTAATCACATTACTTAAGCTACAGGGCTACCTTTGAAAATACACCTGTATCATTGCCTTCAGAAAGGAGTTTGACTAAACTGACCTAATGGCAGGGTAAAATGCTAGATCAGTGACATGAAGTAATCTACCAGATGAACATGTAATACTTGAAACTCCCAAGGAAGTTTTAGATGG